ATTTTTTTACTGGATGTTTAATCTCAAAAAGTCAAAAACATTATTTTTAAAAAAAAAAAAACGCAAAACGCAGGGCCCATTCATAGCAGCAACGCGAATATAACGAGCGGGAAGAACTTTATCATTCAAAGAACTACAATTACCAGAAAGGAAATCTATTTGTAGAGCGGCGGTGCGGCCAGACTGCGGAATTAAACTGACATTTAAGAGAAAAAAAAAAATGCTGCCTGTCAGCTGTAACATTCAGCGATCTACGCCTTCTTCTGGGGGACAATTTATTAAAAAAACAAAAAAAAAAAAACCCGAGGTGAAGTTTAAATCGCTCGTGCCATTCACACCCAGGAGAGAGCGAGTTAGAACGTCAGAACTTGCTGGAGTGCGAATGGCAGTGCGACTTCCTACAGCAGCGATACGCCGCGGGCATTCCGGGAATTATATTGTCACATCGTGTATATTATACAGAGATGGATTTATTTTCCTTCATATCTCTCTGCTTGTGTCACGGTGCGGAGTACAGAAATACAGAGCCCTGTGTGATAGATAATACTCCGGATAATTCAGGGGGAGGGGGAGGTGCTTGGTGTTGTGATAATAAATAACAGTAATAATACTCACAATAATAATAATAAATAATAATAAATAATATTAATAAAATTAAATGATAATTGAGTCAGGGGGAGGTACTTGGTGTTGTGATAATAAACAACGGTAATAATGCTCAAAATAATAATAATAATAATAATAAATAATAATAATAACATTAAATAATAATAATAAAATTAAATGATAATTGAGTCAGGAGGGAGGGGGAGGTGCTTGGTGTTGTGATAATAAATAACAAGTAATTTTATTAAACTCACAATAAATAATAATAAATAATATTAATAAATAATAATTGAGTCAGGGGGGAGGGAGAGGTGCTTGGTGTTGTGAAATAAATAACAGTAATAATACTCACAATAATAATAATAAATAAAAATAAATCATAATAATAATAAAATTAAATGATAATTGAGTCAGGGGGAGGGGGAGGTGCTTGGTGTTGTGGTAATAAATAAAAGTAATGATACTCACAATAATAATAATAATATAATAATAATAATAATAATAAAAAAATAATAATAATAAAATTAAATAATAATAATAATACAATTAAATGATAATTGAGTCAGGGGGAGGGGGAGGTGCTTGGTGTTGTGATAATAAATAACAAGTAATAATACTCACAAATAATAATAATAAATAATAAAATTAATAATTGAATGCTTAATAATAAATAACAGTAATAAATTACTCACAATAATAATAATAAATAAAAATAAATAAATAATAATAAACTTAAATGATAATTGAGTCAGGGGGAGGGGGAGGTGCTTGGTGTTGTGGTAATAAATAAATAACGTAATATACTCACAATAATAATAAATAAATAATAATAATAATAATAATAATAATAATATTAATAAAATAAATAATAATAATAATACAATTAAATGATAATTGAGTCAGGGGGAGGGGGAGGTTGCTTGGTGTTGTGATAATAAATAACAGTAATAATAATCACAATAATAATAATAAATAATAATAAATAAAATTATAATAATAAATTAAATGATAATTGAGTCAGGGGGAGGGTACTTGGTGTTGTGATAATAAATAATGGTAATAATACTCAAAATAATAATAATAATAATAAAATTAAATGATAATTGAGTCAGGGGCGAGGGGGAGGTGCTTGGTGTTGTGATAAAAAATAACAGTAATAATACTCACAATAATAATAATAAATAAATAAATAATTAAATAAAATTAAATAATTGAGTCAGGGGGAGGTGCTTGGTGTTGTGATAATAAATAACAGTAATAATACTCACAATAAATAATAATAAATAAAAATAAATCATAATAATAATAAAATTAAATGATAATTGAGTCAGGGGGAGGGGGAGGTGCTTGGTGTTGTGGTAATAAATAAAAGTAATGATACTCACAATAAATAATAATAAATAATAATAATAATAAAAAATAATATAATAATAAAATTAAATAATAATAATAATACAATTAAATGATAATTGAGTCAGGGGGAGGGGGATTTAGGTGCTTGGTGTTGTGATAATAAATAACAGTAATAATACTCACAATAATAATAATAAATAATAATAAATAATATTAATAAAATTAAATGATAATTGAGCCAGGGGGAGGGTACTTGGTGTTGTGATAATAAATAACGGTAATAATGCTCAAAAAATAATAATAATAAATAATAAATAATAATAATAACATTAAATAATAATAATAAAATTAAATGATAATTGAGTCAGGAGGATAAAAATGCTTGGTGTTGTGATAATAAAAAATAATAGTAAATAATACTCAAATAATAATAATAAATAAATAATATAATAAAATTAAATAATTGAGTCAGGGGAGGGGGAGGTGCTTGGTGTTGTGATAATAAATAACAGTAATAATACTCACAATAATAATAATAAATAATATTAATAAAATAAAATAAATAATTGAGTCAGGGGGAGGGGGAGGTGCTTGGTGTTGTGATAATAAATAACAGTAATAATACTCACAATAATAATAATAATAAATAAATTAAAATTATTAAATAATTGAGTCAGGGGGAGGGGGAGGTGCTTGGTGTTGTGATAATAAATAACAGTAATAATACTCACAATAATAATAATAAATAATATAAATAATATTAATAAAATTAAATAAAATTGAGTCAGGGGGAGGTACTTGGTGTTGTGATAATAAATAAATTAATAATACTACAATAATAATAATAAATAAATAAATAATAATAATTAATTAAATAATAATAATAAAATTAAATGATAATTGAGTCAGGGGAGGGGGAGGTGCTTGGTGTTGTGATAATAAATAAAAAGTAATAATACTACAAAATAATAATAATAATAAAAATAATAAATATAATTGAAAATATAATAAATAATAGTAATAATACTAAATAATAATAATAATACAATTAATAAAATTAAATTAATTGAGTCAGGGGGAGGGGGAGGTGCTTGGTGTTGTGATAATAAATAACAGTAATAATACTCACAATAATAATAATAAATAAAAATAAATATAATATTAATAAAATTAAATGATAATTGAGTCAGGGGGAGGGGGAGGTAATTGGTGTTGTGATAATAAATAAAAAGGTAATAATGCTCAATAAAATATAATAATAATAATAATAATAAATAAAAATAATAATAATAAAATTAATAATAATAATAATAAAAATTAAAATGATAATTAGTCAGGGGGAGGGGGAGGTGCTTGGTGTTGTGATAATAAATAACAGTAATAATAATCACAATAAATAATAATAAAATTATATAATATATTAATAAAATTAAAATAATTGAGTCAGGGGGAGGGGGAGGTGCTTGGTGTTGTGATAATAAATAACAGTAATACTACTCAAAATAATAATAATAATTAATAATAATATTAATAATACATAATAATTCCGTTGGGGGGAGGGGAGGTGTTTGGTGTCACAGTGCTGTGATAAATTAAATTAGGATGATATTGAGAAAAAAAATGAAAATAATAATAGTAACCCCAATATTATTATAAATACTAATAATAAATAATAGTATATTAAATTAAATTTAGTTGAGGGGAGGGGGAGGTGTTTGGTGTCATGATGCTGTGATATTAAATTAGGATAATAATGATAAAAAATAAAATAAAATAAAAAAAAGAACAATAATAATAATAAAAATAATATTAAATTATAATTCAGTCAGGGGGAGCGGTAGGTGTTTGGTGTCACAGTGCTGTGATAATAAATTAGGGTGATATTGAGAAAAAAATAAAAATTATAATAAAATAATAATAGTAACCCCAATAATATTATAAATATTAATAATAATAATAGTATTAAATGATATTTCAGTCGAGGGGAGGGGGATGTGTTTGGTGTCACAGTGATGTGATAATAAATTAAGGATGATAATGAGGAAAAAATAATATAATATATATATATAATATATATATATATATATATATATATGAATAATAAATAAATAATATTTATAAAAAAATGATAATAATAAAAAATATAAATTAATACAAAATAATAACAATAATAATAACACCAATTAATATTATATATAAAAACACAATTATAAAGAAAATGCTAATAATAAACAATATAATTAAATACAAATTAATAATAATAACACAAAATAAATATTATAAATAACAAAAATATAATAATAAGAATGCTAAAAAAAAAAAAATAAAAAATATAATTAACACAAAATAATAATAATCATACTATAACAAAACTCAAACTAAAAATTATAACAAAATAATAATACCAACAATACTATAAATAATAAAAATAACATTAATAATAGAAAATAATAAAAAATATATAATTAATATTAATAATATGCTGTGATAATTAATACGGATGATAATGATAACAATAATAAGTAATAACAATTTATGATAATATTAAAAAAAGTATAGTTAAAAAGTAATAATAATAATAATCAATAACAACATAAATAATAAAAAAATGGCAAAAAACGATAATAAAAATATATATAATTTAAAAAATGTTAATAATAATAATCGTAATAATAATAATTCAGTCATGGGGAGGTGATTGTGCCATGGGGCTCTGATAATACAAATATTTTTAAAAATAATAAAAATAAACAGTAATAAAAAAAAGACGATGAGATCTCCGGGAGGCGATTGATGTCACATTGTGGGGGGGGGGGGGGGGGGGGGGCGGCTCGACACCTCCTCGTCAATCATATTTCCGCCAGTTCTCCTCGGGCTGGGGGCGTAGTTAACGATCTGACAGGGGGCGGTGTTATCGATCATCCACTCGGCGGAGGGGCGGGGTAAATGATCGGCGTGTGGGCGGGGTTACTGATCGGACTTCCTGATCCAGTCGGAGGGCTGTCATGGTGACTGCGGTGTCAGTGCGGCCTTGGGTCGGGATGAAGGCGGCTCTGTGCCTGCTGGTGCTGGGCTGGGTATCCGGACTGTGCGGGGCGGAGGAGAAGGAGAGCTCCGTCCTGACTGTCACCTCCGGGAACTGGACGCTGATACTGGAGGGACACTGGATGGTGGAATTGTGAGTACAATGGTGACATGGAGGTGACAGGAGGATGGGGGGGAGGGGAGATTCCATTGCTGGCTGTCAGTGAGCTGTCCCTGTCTTCTCTCACACCTTCTGTTATATGGAGAAGATTTGGCTCCTCCCCCTCAGTTCTGCTTTATTGTGTTCAAATTGAAGCGTAAACGCGCGTTGCGTCACATACTGATGTGCTTTGCGGCAAGATTGTTCCAACAAACGTGATACCAACACACCGGACTAGAGACGAGTCAGAAAACTGAACAAAATTGTCAAGTCGTTCGTTTTTCGCATCATTAGTGAGCCAGCTGCGACATGCGATTTTTTTTTTTTTTTTTTTTTTTTTTTTTTTTTTTTTTTTGACGCAATTGAAAGTGTCGGATATTATTATTATTAATAAATATTATTATTATTTTATTATAATTTTTATTATTTTTCTCATTACAATCCTAATTTATTATCACAGCCCCGTGACACCAACTTTCCTCACCCTTTTACAGCCGATAACTGGCAATTGTCAGCGAAGGGATCGGCACTGATCATCAGGGCACTGATCAGTGCCACCCACCAATGCCCTGCAATTCCACCCTCCTGTGCCCAGCAGTGCCCCCCAGCTGTGCCCCTCCACCAGTGCCCCCCAGCAGTTCCACCCTCCTGTGCCCAGCAGTGCCGCCCAGCAGTGCCACCCAGCAGTGCCCCCCACTGTGCCCACCAGTGCCCCCCACCTGTGCCCCCCACCTGTGCCCAGCATGTGCCCCCCACCTGTGCCCAGCAGTGCCCCCCCACCTGTGCCCCCCCTCCTGTGCCCCGGTGCCACCCCACCTGTGCCCAGCGGTGCCCCCCCTGTGCCCAGCAGTGCCACCCCACCTGTGCCCCAGTGCCACCCTCCTGTGCCCAGCGGTGCCCCCCCAGCAGTTCCACCCTCCTGTGCCCCCCCCACAGTTTCCACCCTCCTGTGCCCAGCAGTGCCGCCCAGCCTGTGCCACCCAGCAGTGCCACCCCCACCTGTGCCCACCAGTGCCCCCACCTGTGCCCCCACCTGTGCCCACAGTGCCCCCCACCTGTGCCCAGCAGTGCCCCCCCACCTGTGCCCCCCCCTCCTGTGTGCCACTCCTGTGCCCACAGTGCCACCCTGTGCCCAGCAGTGCCACCCTCCTGTGCCCAGCAGTGCCACCCTCCTGTGCCCAGCAGTGCCCCCTCACCTGTGCCCCCATGTGTGCCCTACAGTGCCACCCACACCTACTGTGCCCAGCAGTGCCCCCCCACCTGTGCCCCCATGTGTGCCCTACAGTGCCACCCACCTGTGCCCAGCAGTGCCCCCCCACCTGTGCCCAGTGTGCCCAGTGTGCCCCCCACCTGTGCCCAGCAGTGCCGCCCATCAGTTCAGCATCATCAGTGCTGCCTATCAGTGCCCATCAGTGAAGGAGAAAAATTACCTGTTTGCAAAATTTTATAATAGAAACAAAGAAAAACTTTTTTTTTTTTAACTTTTTGCTTGTTTATAGCACAACAAATAAACCCCCAGCGGAGAGTACATACCACCAAAAGAAAGCTCTATATGTGTGAAAAAAATGCTAAAAATTTCATATGAGTGCAATGTTGCATGACCGCAAACGCAATTGTCATTTAAAGTGTGACAGCGCTGAAGTGCCCAGCAGGTGAGGGGTTAAAATCGATGTAATATTGATGGGACGCGATGTTGCGCTTCAGTCAGTTATTATGATCCGCATCTTCTTTTTATCAGCAAAGCGCCGATAACCCCATCGCCAGGCATCGCTATTGGCAACAAAAGAATACATTACAGGACAGTACAGGACGTCACTGCCGAGGATTTATTCTGTATTCCGAGGATTTTCCTAACTTTAGCAAACTCTTCATTATTGATATGAGACAAGCATGCAAAAAAAACAAAAACAAACAAAAAAAACCAGACGACCATTCTTCCAATATTCTCACCGTGTGTACGAGGCATTATGCAGGCCATAGATGGGTCGAAAATCGGCCGATTTTCACACCGTTAGTGGGTTAATTGGTCGGCCGTGAAGTTGGAAAAAAAATCAGTCAATTTTGCCGATCGGTCCCGATTTTTTTTTTTTTTTTTTCCCGGCAATGATGGGCAAATCAGCCGATCTTTTTACCGATAAAAAATCTGTGCATGAGCCGTGACCTGCAAGAAGAAGAAGAAGAAGAAGAATTCCAGGCCTCTATGATATTTGACATGAAAAGTCTTGCGGTTGCAACAAATGTATCCGAATAAAAACATCTGTATCCGAAATGGATACAAATGGATACATTGTTGCATCCGCAAGACTTTTGCATGTCAAATATAATAGCGGAGCTCTCTGCAGGGACAGAAGTAATCAAATGCCGGCCGTAAACGGGACGAAAATCAACCGTTTTTTTTTTTTTTTTTTTTCTTTTTCTTTTTCTTTACTGTTGGTGGTAACGTCGGCCTATTGAACGGCTGATTTTTCATTTTTTTTTTTTTTAAATGGCTGCTTTTGACCTGTCTATGGCCTGCATTAGGGTCATATCAGATGTACAATTCTGGGGCTGATGGAACTTCAGGTGATGTCCCATTGTGTCACATTGTTGCATTACAAATTTTGTGAAGTGTCCAGTTTTCGGGATGTTTGGAATGCTGGCAGACCATTCATTTCAGTGTGGAGCCTTAATACAGCACATGTTAAATGCGTGTCATGATGTGGGTTAATACGCCGCAGAAATGAAAATGGGCCCTTTAAAATTAAACGCCACTTTTTTTTTTTAAGGGCTTATGCACACTGAAGCTGATAAACTCACGTTTAGGAGGTGTTCAGCGTTTTTTTTTTCCATCAGCCCCTGAACTCTCTCTAATGTTTTCCTATGTGTCCGTGTACACATCACCATTTACAGTCATTTACAGGCAGTTGAGTTTACAGTTGTTTTTTTTAACGCATAAAATTTGCGTTCAGCAGTCGATTTTTTATCAGCGTTTCAAACGCAAAACGCAGCAAATCGCATTTCTAAGCTTTTGCGTTTGAAATTTTTTTTTTTTTAACTCTTCCAGTTCCCGATGCTGTCCAGAGCCTTTTTTCATCATGAAAAATGCATGCAAAGTGTTTTCAAGGTACTCAGATGGACAAAACACTGAACACAGGATGTTCCTACCAAGCTTGTCACACATTGTAATGACCAATTCACACCTCAGACCTCTCCCACCCTTGGAAACAAAAGATATGATAATGACCATTCACACCTCAGACCTCTCCCACCCTTGGAAACAAAAGATATGATAATGACCATTCACACCTCAGACCTCTCCCACCCTTGGAAACAAAAGATATGATAATGACCATTCACACCTCAGACCTCTCCCACCCTTGGAAACAAAAGATATGTCAATGACCATTCACACCTCAGACCTCTCCCACCCTTGGAAACAAAAGATATGTCAATGACCATTCACACCTCAGACCTCTCCCACCCTTGGAAACAAAAGATATGTCAATGACCATTCACACCTCAGACCTCTCCCACCCTTGGAAACAAAAGATATGTCAATGACCATTCACACCTCAGACCTCTCCCACCCTTGGAAACAAAAGATATGATAATGACCATTCACACCTCAGACCTCTCCCACCCTTGGAAACAAAAGATATGTTAATGACCATTCACACCTCAAATTCCTCATAAAGACCCCCTGCCAGGTGGCCTTAATGACTCCCTCCACCAGACACCTTTCCCACCCTTGGAAACAAAAGAAATGTTAATGAGCAACTCACACCTAGCTAATCTCAACACATACTGCTGTCTCTGCTTCTACTCTCTGTATTTCTCTGAAATAGTTGATAATTTACCACTTTTCAGTGCATTCTGGGCATTTGGGAGGTTCTCCTGCGCTTATCTTTAAAAAAATTTCCAACATGCCCGATCACTCAAATTCAACGTTCACATGAAATTCATCCATTTCTGTGACCCTCTATTGGGTCTTTTTCGGGTTTTTTTTCAGGCGTTTTCCATTGACTTCAATAGGAAGAGGTGTTTTGGGGTGTCTTTAACTCCCCAAACATGCCACAAGCAGGAGGTTTTACACTGCAAATGCCTCAGTGTGAAAACATACATACATAGATATACAGTCACATACACAGGGAAGAGTTTTTCTTGAACTTTTCAGGCGCTTTTTTTAATGCAAAAATGCTTGAAAAACTCCTCAGACTCAAGCAGTCTTTTGTGCAAGAAAAGTTTTTTTTTTTTTTTTATTTTTTTTTTTTTTTTTTACGCTTGCACATGATTGGGTATTCTTTTCAATATGAAAATTCAGCACATTCACTGAATTCTGGGCAAATTCCCATGCAGGTGAAGAGCATATTTGCCTTCGTAAATCCACCCTGTCTGTCAGGAGTGTGGCAGAAGGGATCTCCTTCCTCGCCTGTGTTTTTTTTTTTTTTTTTTTTTTTTTACAAATTGTCCAGTGACTGTGGCGCGTTCTGTGACTGTGGCGCGTTCTGTGATAACCGTTTTTTGTTTACCATGAGTATCTATTGCTGATATCTCCTCATAGCAGGATGTTAGGAGAACACTGAGGTTTCAATGCTCTGCCCACACTCTATACCAGCAGATGTTAGAAAGGAAATGGTAGATGGCTGATGGTGATAGTGCGCGCCATTTTCAAGGCTCCCAGGCAGCTGCAGCACGTGAACCATTGTATAATGTGTCTGGATCAGTCCTGGCGGGTACATTATATATTTCAGGTACTTATATAGCACCATCCATTTACGCAGCACTTTACATATATATTGTACATTCACATCAGTCCCTAACCCTCAAGGGGCGTACAATCTAAGGTCCCTAACTCACATTCATACATACACATACTAGGGACAATTTAGACAGGAGCCAATTCACCTACCAGTATGTCTTTGGAGAGTGGGAGGAAACCGGAGTACCCGGAGGAAACCCACGGAGACACAGGGAGAGCATGCAAACTCCAGGGAGGTGGTGCCGTGGTTGGGATT